TTACTATGCATTTAAAGCCAAAATACGTGTTTTCACTTCATTTGCTTTTCATCAAAGTAGTAATGTATTTGTTTAATGTGAGTTTCTTTGATCTCCATTCTGTGTGAGTAGATGACAATCATTTACCTACACACATTATTAGAATGCGGTATTCCTTATTCTAATTAAGATTCATTTCACGCCCACTACACAATAGAGAATACCACCATATTATCTGATTTATTAGAAATAATGAGGTGATAGACAACAAGAAAGTATAATCACTGTTATTCTTACAAGCAAATGAGGTCAACAGAATGATGTTTTTAAATGACAATGTTAGTTATTTTACACTATCACTATAACTTAATTAAAAGTATATTTTTTCTGAGAAAACTCGTATTATGTTGCCAGTATTCAGATAGTTGTGAAGATTATATTTATTGTTCAACCACATAATCCTGACAGAATCGTTCGGTTAGAGACCTTAATCCAAACAGGACGAGGCGGCCATCCAGTGCTTCTAGGTTTCAATGGTGATCTATCATCAATGGCGGTTCATGATCTCAATCAAACAGATTTAGTTGAATGTAAGAAGCAGTTGTTGTGGTCAGGCCAAACAATGACTGTTCATCGAGCATAATGTGATCCTGTTGGACACTGTCATCTCCTAAATTCGTTCAACTGTATTTTTCAGTTGTCAAACACATTGTTATCTCAAATGAATCGTTTGAGCGGAACCTGAGTGTCTGCTTGAACAAACTAGAGAAGATGAAATACAAACAGGGAAACCAACAAACAATCAATTATAATCATTTCGGAACTGAAATCACGTCTCACTATCTATCTGAATATCACCGATTATCGTTGAAACTAATGAAGACTTTTCGGTGAAGAAACGTTTGCTCTTGACGATATTAATTCATGAATCTGTTCAATAGTATTTTCAGTTAATACGTTTGTATGTATGTATGTAGTATGCGATAAAATAGATGGATGTTGCAAAATTACCAAAGTTTTTCAAACTTATCTCATCAGAATTCGTTGAAAATTAAGTTTTGTAGTAATATGTACTGAGAGAGTACTGTGGATAATGAATGTTGATCGTGATGTTCTCGTGTTTTAGAACATCGATTGCTTTTTACTCTGGCCTAAAGGATACATAAGAACACATCAATGAAATACTCTGAATGAAGACAGTTTCCACTTCGTGCATTACTATCGTAATTTACATCAATCTTTGTTGTATATCCAAATGTGTGTTTGTTTTGAGGAATAACTGTCATTTTTTTCAAAATTTCACTTTCAGTACAATGTTTCGCTTATATTTTATTACAATCACAATCAGTTCAAGTTCTACGTGATCAGTGAGAAATGTTATATCTCTCCTAACCTGAACATCTATTAACAAACTGTGGTGTAATATGTAAGTCAAACACAATTATGGTGGCTTTGATCAGAATTTACATTTTTGATGATAAAACGATGATAAAATCGTCTGATAGATTTTATTTAATTGAAATAATATTGTAATAAAATAATGTTAATTTTGACATCTCACGTAATCAGTTTTTGCTTAAAGGAGAATCTCTGAAAGATGTAGAATCCATCACGTAACAAGACAGTTCAACTGTACGATGCTGAAACATGGAGAACTACTACAATCCAACATCCAGATAGTGCAAGTATTTATAATTAGTTGTCTGCTCAAGATGCTCAACAACTGTTGGCCAGATACTATCTGCACCACCCTTCTGTGGGAGAGAACAAACTAGCTTCCAGCTGAAGAGGAAATTAGGAAAAGACGATGGAAATGGTGAATAAACGTTTGCTCTTGACGATATTAATTCATGAATCTGTTCAATAGTATTTTCAGTTAATACGTTTGTATGTAATAGTGTGCGATAAAATAGATGGATGTTGCAAAATTATCAAAGATATTCAATTTCACCACAGCTGGGTTCGATCAATACGAAGTGATGTTGCTCACATCTATTCGTGATAAACAAAATCTTCAAGTATTTCGAGCAATATAGTAAGGGTGTTACCTCTTCGTAGCTTACGCTTTTATGTACTGAATGAATCGTGGTGCATTATTTGTTAACATTGGAAGTACTCATCAAGAACCTACGATGTTTAATAGTTTTGGTAGAAACAAATACATTGATCTGTAAAACAATAGATGAATATAACTACGCACTCAAAGGATAAAAAGAAGAAGAATTAGTATTAGGTAATATTTAACTATTCTATTTTGTCGAATTCGATGGATTCATATGACCAATGATGAATAAGTGATTTAGCGAGACTTGTCTGGGTACAAAATCGGGATTTGAAGTGGTTAATTACTATAGCTTCGACGATACAAAATCAATTCACTTAAACTGTTTTTAGCCAGTTTTTTTTATTTTACTGTGTAACTGGAACGCAGATACGCAGAATGTGTGGTCTGGAATGACTGTCTTTGAGAATTGAATTGTCGACTTATCAATATATCCCTTTGGATAATCATACACCGTAGTACTCGGATTTTCCTTTACAATCGTTAGGAATGCTGGATCCTCAAATCTCACTTGGTAAATGCTTTCATTTTGTAATTTTATTTTGCGAATTCCAATTTCCCTGTCTTGGGGTCAAGGGCGTTTTTCCCACTTGGGAGAGTTTTTAATGCTATTTGTCCGTTGTGTATTTTAGTATGCTATTTTGCAGCTCTTCCCAATGACAGTTCCATGATGTATATATGCGTTTGATTTGTGCTTGTTGCTATTGCTCATGCTTCTAGAATTACGGAATATAATTTCCCGTTCCAAACTTGAACTTCTCTCTCTAGTTAGACAGTCCGAGACACCTCAGAATATCTAGCTTATTGGTCTTCGGTCACAAGTCCTTGTTCCGTTCATACTCTAAGTGAACTCGTAATTGAAGTCAAGCTTAAGCTGGAATATGTCAATAAGAACAGTTCTTGAAGTTTTCTAAGCCAGATAATGTTATCAAGTCTACAATAGAATGATTTACACCAGAATAACTCAGACATTCACAAGACTCTCGGAAGAAGCATACACCTACACTCCGGATCGTTTCATTGAGTGATTTGTACATTTAGCTGGAGATCAGAATCCTTACACAGTTCTCTGCGTTGTTGTATACCCAAGATTGACAATCACATCGAAGTAATAAATATATTTTAATTAACTGTTAATACAATCATCACAAACCGTGTTTTGATAATTAAAAAGCAGTAAATATGATTTAAAGAATTTTAATGAAAATGAACCAGTCGTGCGTTGAATGATTTGTTTAGAAATTTCACAAATGCAGTATATGTATTTGCATAATATAATAAATTGTTTTATTCTAACCACGTCTTCGTTCATAATAGATGTAGTATTTTTGCTTTTGGATAGTAGTAGAAATCCCAGTATTGGTTAAAGTGGTGTACACAATAGTTTGGTAGACCAAATAATATATGAACTCAAAAATGATATATATATATATATATATATATATACATTCCCAACAATAATAAAGGTAAAATGATACACATAAGTGGTTATTGTAAGAATGACTCGGTTCGTTAAATAAGTTAACAAAAGAACTTAACCAAGTTAAATGTGAACAAATCCAATTGCACGTGAGTTGCTATAATTCATCGAAATTGTGTTAGTAGTAGTAATAGCAGCAATTGTAGCAGTTCAATTAGTAATGGTAGTGTAATGAACAGACCACGAGTGTAGCAATCGAATCTATTTAAGCACTACACTACAGAATATCTCACAAAAATCTGTGAACCATATCATAAACAGTTTATTAGTAAAATAATAATCCATCGTCTCAAAAGGTCGAGAAGTCTTTCTCCAGGCAACAGATCCACACCACCATTACTTACATCCATCAGATCTTTTTCCAGAATTTCATCGATGGCAAAGTTGGAGAGAAATGGTGAGATTGGACAACCGTCTAACCTCACTGCTTGAATGGAACAATGGATAAAGGTGGTTGTATGCCCTCACTCTACCTGAGATGTTTGTATATAGGGCCTTTAAAATGTCAATAAACTTCTCAGGCACACCTTTCTTCAAATAAAATGAAAATGATGATATTTACTGAAAAAATTCTATTCTTGCATCCAATTATTGTTAAGGGTAACAAAAAGGAATTATATTTATAATAATTCCAGTAATTAATTGAAATTAAAATAGTTGAGGACGAACTTCTTTAGGGAAATCATTAAAAATTATCGAATTTATTTTATATTTATTAAATTGATATTGATACAAAGGGGCACTAAATACATATGCACTACACAAGTCACTTGATTGGTGTATGAGCTGTGATACTACCCGATTGCCCAAAATGAAGCAGGTGATTTTCTTAGGAGGCCACACCCGGAGCCTTTGACCTAAAGATCTGATCCACAAGGAGATGCAGTCCAATGGTAGCCAGTGACCAATAATTGGCTCATACGCCATTTGTTCACTCAGGATTGTGGGTCCCATATGTACCATTGCTTTGGAATCAGAATTTTCCAACTCCACTAGGTGGACCCTCCGTGTCCACCAACCCAGTTAAGGTGCCGGACATTTGATTTTCGTCCTCTTAATTTCGTAAACGACACTGCAGCCGCGAGAAGGCAGTGGGTAAGACTTTACTGGCTGTATACGCGTGGCCATGTGAGAGCGTTCGGATAGGGAGAGCTGACTCTCCCAACTCTCGACCGTACCAGGGCATTTCGGATACGTAAAACGACTTTATATTAAAACACAAACTATCTAAATGTATGAATATTGTTGAATGTGGAAAATTAGTTGTAGTGTTGATGAGAGTTATTTGATTTGAAATTATACTAAAATAAAAGCTGATTAAAGTATGCATGTAGATGACATCTTTACCATTAAAATGAACTTGGAATCAGTTGTTTAGCTAGACGTAAGAATATCTACAATGCAATAAAATCTAAGTAATTTCATATATTTTCCCAAACATTTGATATATCATCTCTCATACTTATATTTAAGAGAATATTAAAATGGATTACCTTTGAATTCGTGTAATTCATTGTTTTTTCCACTGGAAGCTCCTGTGCAAGGAAGTCGTCTTGAATGAGAAATGCAACTTTTATGTACTTTGATTCTATGTACAGAGATTTTTTTTTAAAAAAGTCAAACAATTGTGTATAGTGTTACAATAACAAGTCAAGACAATAAAATCTAATCTTAAGCAAGTTATTTGTACACTCAATAATAAAAATAAAGCGAATTTAGAGGAGGAAATTTTCACTTTCCGAAGAAACCATTTACTTAAGCTGTACCTTCGTACTTATAGTTGTATGGTAAATATATGAGTCTATAGAAGGATAGAAAAGATTGCATCATCAAAAGATTCGAGACTCCAAATATCAAATGAGGTTGAGTAGAAATCAATGGATTAGAGAAGAATAAGGTAGTGAAAATAATTTACAGGTTACAAATATGAGAGATAATTGTCCACTTGACAGATATACAAAAAAGTGAAAAACGTAAAGGTCATAATAACAATTGAATAATATCAGTTTAAGGTTGTAGAGATTGAGTTTTGACCGAGATCACGAATCAATCAATGTTAGACCATCACTGAAAACTTGGAAGCACTGGACGGTCGTGTTTTTGTAGCTTGGGATCATGAATGCACACTGCTGAGGAGTCCCAAACTAGGAACAAACGACCGTCCAATGCTTCCAGGTTTTCAATGGCGGTCTAATACTGATCGATTCATGATCTCAATCAAAATTTAATAATAATCATGGAAAATTTATTAGTTACAGTATCCCATAGTCACAGCCACTTTTGGCTTGATCTTGTATAATGATTATTTTTCGTTTTATCTTGTTATTTGGTCTGGTCTGCTTGTATATAAACTACGTATGTCTGAAATATACGATTTACACAGCGGAGGCTGATATTTGTGTTCTGAACTGAATAGGAGGAGCTAGGTGAGAGGCTACTACACAGAGGACCAATAAGGTCTCAGAGTTGACTCAAGGCTTTTCGTGCCGGTCAACGCATCATTGGTTTAGCACAGAGACAGGGTGATAGCAGTCGGTATTCTGATTGGCGATTTCGCCAAGTGATATTTGGCGGGTTATAGGACATAACAGGTGCAACTAGTATACTTTTTATAATAAAATATAACAGTGCATGTATATTATCATTTTTTAAGTAAAGTAATATATTAGCACACTTACTTGCAGTAAGCACAATGTTGTAGACGAAATCGCATTCGATTATTACAAACAGCGCATGGAGTACCTTTAACAAAATCACCAAATTTAGATTTTAATTCGAATCTGTGAAACGGAAAAATTGTGAAATAACATGTTAAACAACTGTCACATGTCATAAAAATATATCTAGCCATACTATGGTGTTTGCTACTTATATTGACATAAGTAGTATATGATATTAGTCGTGAACAGAAGGTCTGGCAGCAGAGAGACAAGAGGATCGAGCAGTAAAGAATGGAAGTAGGATGCAATTTGAATGAAAATGCAAGAACAATGAAGTCTGGGTCATTTCGAGACAATTGGTGGACATTTTGCAAATTAAGAATTTACTTTATGATTGTTAGGTTTTATTAACAAGTCCTGTAATTTTGTGTTAAATACATTCGATTGTCCCCGCTGGTGTTCCTGTTCACTACAATGTTATTAATATCAAACTATACGTAGATGAAGAAATTCAGTTTCACTGAGAAGCTGTCACCAGTGAAGTTCAACATTGTGTTTGGAGTGAGACAATCATATCAATAATGGCAATAAGTAGTGGTTAGAAATGTTGGATACCAACTCAGTGGCCTGCACATTAAGCGCTAGATGAGAAGCCTGAAGATTCAGGCTTCGGTACCAGGTGTGGTCGTGAATCCCCACAAGTGAAGAGTTTTATACCAAAATGAAGAAGCTATTCAGTGATCCCTGGTTTTCTATGGTTGTCTAACCAAAGTCATTCAGTGATGTAAAACTACGACATGAAGATAGTTTATAAACGAATAATCGAATGATCTACAGTTGGTTCGTCAAACAAACACTTCCGAATTTCACAATCAAACTTTTAAAAACGGCCACTAAATGAACCTGACAAACATATGGCATAAAATGTTTAGTGAACTCAATTACATGAAAATCTCAATTTCGGTTACCAGTGTGAACTTTAAACACTGTTTTAACATCTGTTTGATTTCCCTATGATTAGCTTTTAGTTGTAACAAACTCTTTGAATAATACTATGAAGTTCGACTTTGAACTATGGGAGTTATGTATTTTGAAGAGAGCAAAAGATTCCTTCAGACCGTGAGAGAAACCAATACACATATATCTATTCATTTTTTACTATCTAATGACTAATTCACTAGGCAAGTGCCAAGTTGAATACAACTACTACGAAAATACACATATATCTGTTAAACACAAATATAGACACTAACTCACTTGTGCATAAATCCACTTGCACTGAGAACAAATGTGGCCCCACCTGAGTTAGTCGGAACATTAAGGATACCTAGATTTAAATGAAAGCATGTCTAATTACTTCAAATACACAATTAACAAACTAGAGATGTTTATGGATACTCATTTAACCTACTGGCTAAAGTAAGTCATAGCTTAGAACTAATCAGAAATAAAATATCTTCTTGATTGTAGGTGTCATTACCAAGGTTTGATTTGATAATTTCGAATAAATTGAGCATTGGGTTCATTGTTATTAATAAAAATAATATATTTGTAATATCCCAATGAGTAGAAAATTGGATTTTCTGACGTTTCGTGACTTAGTGTAAGTCACTTCTTCAGAGAATAAATAACCAAATTAAAATTAATCCAAGTTTAAATAGTACAACGGAACAACGCAAGAATAATATTGGATCAATCAAAAACAAGTCTGAACAAGTTGATGTCATGTCATTTCTGTCAAGGTGATTCATAAGTGATATGTATGTAAATTTGTATGTATATGTGTATTGTTTAAAAATGAAAACTTGTGTGACCTTTCTAACTACAAAGAAAGGAGGGTAGCTGAGGCGTTCCATATAATGCTTAATCCTACTTCTCTCAATAGAAAGGAAGGTCTTACTATACATCCTACTTGGACCATCTATCCTAGCCACTCAGTCTGATCGTATTTACAATTTCACACTATCATATTACAAATTTAAACTCTATCCTTTCTTACCATAAAGGTCACACAAGTTTTCATTCTTAAACAATACACATATACAAACACACAAATTTACATACATATCACTTATGAATCACCTTGACAGAAATGACATGACATCAACTTGTTCAGACTTGTTTTTGATTGATCCAATATTTCGATAATGATATTAGAAGACGAAGATTTTCAGAACTATGTGATATATTAGCGCAATACATTTCGAACAATCTGGTCACACATATACTTGTTAAGAGCATTTATATATAAAAATAAAAGGTCAACTAGACAGGAAACGGGGTAAGAGATAAGGATAATGATAAGTGTAATAATAATAATAATGTGAACACAATTTGAAACCTAATCACTCTGGATAATAAGTCAATATTACCAGGGTAGGTTTAAGGTAAGAACAAACTGTTTTTGAACACATAAGGGGGGTTTGAATTTTCGTATGTCTAAGGCTTCAATGAACCTTAATATACGCCCTTTTACACTTTTATACAGCACTACAAAAGTTGAATTTAGATCAATCTTGTGACCTGTTTCAATTATATGTTTAGCAATAGAGGATGATGGATGTTTATCCTCTGCTCTTATTGGGTCACTTGATTGTATTTGTTTCTGAAGCCATTTGGGTACATGTTCACTCACCCTAATGTTGAGATCACGATTACTCCTCCCTATGTATGTGTGACCACACAAACATTTAAATTGGTAAACACAGTGGGATGTGACGTAATCGTTTCCCTGTACTTTAGGTTTTGAATGAAGCATGCACCTTGTTCTTTCTTTGATGATGACCTTTGCTGCGCAATAGGTTTTATTGATGACTGATTTAAGTCGTTGTTTCAGTAAAAGGCTATTTGAATCACCTCTGAATGGTAAGGTGATGTAGACAGGCTTTTTCTCTACCGAGGCTACAGTAGGTCTCGCTGTACCATGGACTTTCCATCTATTTATGAATTTCAGAGGATAGCCATTTTCTATTAACGTTTTATTTAACAACTTAACATCATCATCAATGGCGTCATTGGTACAAATACGGTCGAGTCTGTTGAAAAGACACCTTATCAAACCACGTTTGTATTGCACAGGGCAATCACTATAATAACTAAGATATTGACCTGTCCACGTTGGTTTTCTAAAAATAGATCGCTTTATTTTTATATATAAATGCTCTTAACAAGTATATATGTGACCAGATTGTTCGAAATGTATTGCGCTGATATATCACATAGTTCTGATAATTTTCGTCTTCTAATATCATTATCGAAATTGATCCAATATTATTCTTGCATTGTTCCATTGTACTATTTAAACTTGGATTAATTTTAATTTGGTTATTTATTCTCTGAAGAAGTGACTTACACTAAGTCACGAAACGTCAGAAAATCCAATTTTCTACTCATTGGGATATTACAAATATATTATTTTTATTTATATCTTCTTGATTGTTGCAAAAACGGCAACTACCTTATGCCTCATTGACATGTTAGTAAAATTTACATTTATTCGGTTCTTGATACGCTCAAAACTGATAAACATATATCCGTTGTGCAAACATAAAGTGAGTATGATCTGGTGTGGAAGCTACGTTACGAAAAACGTCATGTTGGAGCTTATAACGTCCGAATAGTGTGCCAAATAGGTCAAAGGCTTTCTTAGCTAGGACTTTAGAATCTCGTGCCAGCGATATGTGCTGCGTCTCCGAAACACGCATACAGGATCCGAGTAGCGTCATTCATTTGACATCACCATGACAAAACAAAGAACCAACTCGATTCATACTTTGTATATCTCGAGGCCCAGATGCTGCTTCTCGTGGACTTGCCGGCGTAGGTATAGCATTGAGTCCTGGGGCAGAACTAGCTCTCTTAGACTGGATCCCAGTAGACAGTCGTTTGTGCGCTGTCCGACTAAACGGAACAATAAGGACTGCGAAGGGTAGGGACACTCGTCGTCTCTGCCTATTCTCCCATTGACTGCAGCTCAGATGTAAAAGATGAGCTCTACAGAAAGCTTGTCCAAAAAGCTAGGCGCTCTGATGTAGTAGTAGTGGCCGGTGACTTTAATGCTCAAGTAGGCAAACTAAGCGAAAGGGAAAGACACCTGGGTAGATCTTATAGTGTCGTGGGTCAAAGAACAGATAATGGCGACCGTCTGTTGCAGCTATGCTCGGATAACCACCTGCTTCTTGCAAATACTAACTTAAAGCGTAAGCAAAAACATGGCACTGATAGATGCTCGGAAACTCATTCCACCTGGCTCTGAACATAATGAAGAGAGGAGTCAGCTTAAGCGCAAGCTGACAAGAAGCCTACGTAATGATCGCGAACAGTGGTGGGTAGCGAAAGCAAGAGAGATGGAAAAGGCAGTGGCGATAGGTAATAGCAGACAATTGTTCAGACTCGTTAAGGAAAGCGGAATTAGGAACCCGACCGTTAGCGAAACAATCTCAGAGAAAGATGGACATATTATACATTCTCAACCCAGGAGATTGGATCGATGGGCAGAACAGTTTAGGGATCAGTTCAACTGGCCTTCAGCCACACTTCGGTTTCCCAGGATCTCTAGTCAACCTGAATGGCAAGTTAATGTAGGTCCTCTGTCTCTTTACGAAGCTGAAAAAGCCATAGGAAATCTGAAACGAGGGAGAGCAGCAGGCCCTGACAGGTTTACTCCTGAGATTTTTAAGGATGGTGGTCCAGTATTAGCAATGAGATTAACCGAGTTCTTAGGTAGAATTTGGGAACTGGACGTTATCCCATCTGACTGGTCCCAATCACTGACTGTACCAGTCTATAAGAAAAGACAAAAGTCCTCTTGTAACAATCACAGAGGAATCAGTTTGACTAATATAGTGTCTAAAATATTAGCTTCAATAATACTTCGGAGCCTAACCAAAGCTCGTGAAGAACAAACTAGAAAACATCAGCCTGGTTTTAGACCTGGACGTGGTTGTATAGACCGGATATTCACACTACATCAGGTTGTAGAACACAGACACACGTCCAGAAGCCCCACAATCGCAGTATTTCTCAACCTTAAGGCAGCATTCGACTCTGTTGATCGTAAGGTTCTATGGCAGTGTTTGTCACTGAAAGGAGTACCAAAGAAGTACATTAACCTTATACAGGCTCTCTACTCGAACACAACTGATAGAGTGAGAGCTTATGGCGAACTGTCATCAGAATTGATTACCTCAAGTGGTGTTCGTCAGGGCTGTCCACTCTCTTCATTCTTGATTAACTTTGTCGTTGATGTGCTTTTAGAGGTAACACCTTCCTCATCTAAATTTCCAAGGGTTGAACTTCTACCGGGAGATTCACTTGTTGACTTGGAATATGCCGATGACATAGTTCTATTTGGTGAAGACGCTGATAAAATGCAGTCTTCTGACCACTCTAAGCAACAACGCAAGCACGTTCGGCATGCAATTCTCCCTCGCGAAATGCAAAATGTTGCTTCAGGATTGGGTTGCATTAACACCCGAACTAATGATAGGGAGTGAAGTAGTTGAGCGTGTCGACCGCGTCACTTATCTTGGAAGTCTCATCAGCCCTTGTGGCCTGGTGTGTGACGAAATCTCAGCACGGATACAGAAGGCTCGACTAGCTTTTGTCAAATTGTGTCATTTATGGCGTGGGCGAGATATCCGTTTATCAACCAAAGGACGTGTGTACTGCGCAGTTCTTTCCGTCCTACTTTATGGCAGTGAATCATGGTCGGTAAGAGTAGAGGATATTCGTAGGTTAATAGTATTTGAAGCATTGCTCGTATATCCTGAGATCATAGAGTAAGTTATGCAGTTGGGAAACGGGTACTAGGTAAGGATGGCAAATCAATTGATGAAGTAGTGAAACTTCATCAGTTGAGATGGCTGAGACACGTGTTACATATGCTCAACCACCGACTGCCTCGACGTGCGATGTTCAGTGGTATAGCAGATGGAAAGAAAGCTAGGGGCGGCCAGACCAAAACATAGTACAAGTCCATGGAGTCACTGACAAGTGGACTGAGTCATGTTGGTAGGTGTAGACTACGTGGTTGGGGACCGCAAGATGATAGCAACCGATGGTTAGAGACCCTGAATGACATGGCTCAAAATCGTCTGCAATGGCACAAGTGCATCCACTCTTTGTATTCTCCCAAATTTTAATTTTCTGAATTCTTTATGTCCCTTATTTTCTTTCCAAATTTATTTCACTGGATCATACTACTTGAATAACATCAAGCCTTAATGTTTCCGATTACTGCTTATACTACCTCTACTACTACGGAATTTGAGTCGACAACTGCATCTCTGTGCTAATGTGGTGTAGCAACTCGAACTGATGTACGTATGTATGAAGTTTTACGTTGTTACTGACTGACTGACATTTATATCACAACTTGCATTATAACTAAAATCACTTCTAACTGCTTGAAAAGTCATTCAAGGTCATACCACAGTATATTTCAGTTAACTCTATTGAAAGCTCTAAATACTAGGAGACAAAACCTTTTGTGAAAGTCACCTTAATGAAAAACGCAATCCAATCTACGTAAGATCAAGCTTCAGCAACTTATTTCGAAAAGAACTTCACTCACAAAACGCCTACAAAGCAAAGTCGCAGTGTTAAAAAAGGTGTATTTAATCAAACAATAAGAACAAAATACGAATGCAAAACTACAAAGATATTCACCTTACGAAATAAACACGTTTTGTACGATAAACTATGATTAACATTATAGGCATAAACTAACGTTGGATTCTCGTCAGCCCTAGCCGTTTAGTGTCCGACAAAATCTCAGTTTGAATTCAAAAAGGTCGTTGGTTTTTGCCAACCTAGCTGAACAGGTGTAGAAAGTAATCCGTGAACAAATGTGAAATTCATGTAAAGTTCACAATTATAAAGCTATTTACACAAGAAATCACGATGTTGCATAATGCCACAAAAAGTCAGTCACCAGATCTATAGAATAACCAGGAACTAGGGAAGAGTCCAGTACTGACAATTATACATCGGTAGATAAAAAATTATTCCTCATTAAGCAGTGTAATGAACCATTAAACGTTACTGTAAGTCACATAATACTTCCGATAGGTGAAGTCATAAATATATTTTGAGTACTGAATAGCACTAGGTTCAATTCATAAATCTTTTTTTTCACTGAATGATTACAAGTCAAAAGTTTACATTGCAACCACCATTGAAGTTTACTACTCAAATATATAACCAAGATGACTACAAAGCTAATGACTGTTTTTTAGTGCTTAGAATAAAATATTTAACAGTTTATCGAAAAATCCAGTATAACTATGAATTCATTATACTGATTTACAACTATTCATGAAGTAATATGAATGGAATATTCATTGAGCTCGAAAATTCGAAAGTTTCCTAACAGAAATTATGATCAATATATACCTTTCTTTTACGAAATACATACATTAAGTGTAGAAAAAAACATAAAGCAGTAGATATGCCTAATCTGTCATTTAAAAAACCTACCTAATAAATTATCACTATCTGCAGATGTAGTCATTGAAGGTTGTAAATTAGTCTTTGATGGTCGATATTCACAAGACACACGTCGACCTTGATCGTAGGTACGTGGACTTGTGACAAGTGTGGAAGTACTATCACTAATGGAACAAGTATTATAAAATGTTGAAACTGTTTTATTCCCATTTGAAATAACATCGCTGCTAATACATACACCACATTGAGTAGTAGTTATACACGGTCGACCGCCATTTATACACTCAGAATAATTGAAATAATCGTTGTGTAAATTACTGGAGGCGTCTGGGGAAATCGGATTATATAAAAATAGTTGTGGTCTACTGATATAACAGGAAGAGTTTGTTTCTTGGTGGAACTGTGGTACATTTGGGAGGGCAGGTAAAATAATACGATTGGCAAGATTAGACTCATGAGACTTGCTACGATGAAGCGGAGAAGAAAATCTTAAACGATGTTTGGGTGGCGGAGTCCCTGCCTGACGAGTTTGATGCTCGCGATCTCGAGACGAATGATTGCCTGCTCGACGCCCACCGGGAGAAAGTGAGATTACTTCATTTGGTAGTGTATGACGGCCTGCTTTAAAAAGATTTGAGGGTGTTAAAATGGTCGAGGATAATTTATAAGAAATGGGAGTAGAAGGTACTGAAAGCCCGCCATTATGTAGATCAACTTCTGAAGGAATATTCGAATCAGATATACCCGGAATGAGATTAAATGTCTTAAAATCAGTTTTGGACAATTTTCCGGATTCAGATTTATTTGTGACATTCTGTGGACTATTTATGGTGATACAACTGGAAGCATGTGGGGAAGTAAACGAACTACAGCCATTGTAGTTGACATCACAACCAGTTTTAAATGTATTAATATTATCGGAATTGGAATGGCTAATAAGATTTCCACAGGATGTATCGTGCTCTAAATGAGAGCAAACAACTACTTTGGTATTTTTATGAGACGAGTTTTGTGCAGACATTTCCTTGTTAATAAAAGGAGAATCTTCAGGGCCAGTAACATATAAGGGAGGTATACGAGGATCCTTTCTTTCTTCGTAAATTTGAGCATTAAGGATATTATTCAGTTCTTCAACTTCAGAATCATCGTCAGACAAACGCATCACCAATTTGATTAAGTTCCTGGTATCATCTTCAAATGCTAAGTCACTTTCAATGAGATCAATATTCCCGCGTATTTTTGCAAGACCAGCAAGTACATGATCAACTTCCTCACCATAATCACCATAATTTTGTAAGATTGTTCTCACTTCACTGTCAGGCATATCTAACAATTGTAGAAAGCCAATACCACGAATACGAAGAAGGCCCTAGAGATACGTATGAAAATCTGAAGACATCCACCACTTACCTGTATAGTGTCATCATTTATACCGAGACATCGAAAGCAAACTTCCGATTTTGGATATTCACGCAGAATGGCATTAGCTGTATCTTCATCAGCATTACAAATAGCTGAAATTTGCTGGGCTAAATATTCAAAAGTTTTATTCTATAACGGAAATTGCACTATATTCACCAAATTACCTCAGCGTCTTGTATCTCAAGTGATAAAATTTCGGAATGTTCATCACTTCTTTTTAACTCTTTACGCAAAGGTGAAATGATTTGCTCTTCTGTTACAATGATTAGGTTCTGCAAATCTTTACAAAATGCGTATGGGGAAGCAGGTTCACTGAGCATGGTACACAATAGTTTGTGCCCTGCTTTGTGTACTATAACTCAGATGATATCTCCAGAGCTTGTTCATGAAAAGTTGTGTATGTTATTAATTTGTAAATCCTCCAACCGTTCTTAAACTAATATTCTTTTGTTGAGTGAATATCAAGACTTGTTTGTAACAAAACGTGCAAAGATACCTGAAATGGCAAAAGAAGTTTTAAAAAACGTTATTTAAGTCGGTAAGGTAGACAGCATACCCAAACCTTATGATTAAAAAAGGAAAGCATTGTCTATTAGTTGAAAGTGTAACCAAGTTGAGAAAAATGATTTTCTAAACAAGAGTGAAAATCATGTGGGTATTCAGAGTGATTTTTAGACAAAATTGCTGAAAACAGAGCAGTATGACACCAGAGTAATATTGATAATATGATGCAATTTAGCAATGTTATAAATTCTCATGTAGCACATGAGTTATATCTGTTTTGAATACGAATGAATCTAACCAGTCTTAGAATGGATTTAGTAATTTAAGTCAACGAACGTTTATAACCACAACGAGTGATTGAACTTGTTTATTTGCATTTACTGTGCATAGAATCCGTTCAACACAACCATAGGCACACATATAGTCAAGAAAACTCTATGCATCTATGAGATATATGTAGCTTTGCAACTACTTGTAAACTCACATACTAAGCATCTAATGCTACCAGAGAAACCATCTCATGGATGGAGAGGAATCTAGGGGAAAGTAAGCGCACATCAACCTCATCTAATACCCCATGAGTATCCATTAAACTGGTGATTGAATGGTTTCCCAGAACTCTATTCTCACCTTGACAACATTCTTAATGTCAGTGAGACAATAAAATGACCCGTCATTTTTACCAAATGACCATTTCAAGTGTAACAAATAAAATTATGAAAATATGCAGGCAGAGCTTTTTTCATTGGACCGAAATATACACCTAAGGGCTACAAATACTTATTTATCTGAACACAAATATTGGTACAAGGGGGCACCAAATACATATGCGCCACACAAATCTCATTTGATTTGTCCCGACCGTTGTTGCTACCTTGACGTGGTGGTCGGGCTTGCCTAGCCTGATGAAGCAACCGAGCTATACTGGCTGGAACAACTGCTCCTCAAGGTCCTAACATGTCAGACAGGTCGGTTGAAGAGCGGTAAGACTAAAAGCAACAAACTCAAGGTCCGAAGGCGAAGTCGTACTGCTGACTGTACAGTGGTGTGACAGCAGTAAGGTGTTTCCTTCAGACAACCAGCATGACAGCGATGCTGCCTTCCCACAAGGAGGGGTGGGGTTAGAAAAAGTCGACCCTAAAAATGTACACCTCGCCTTATCCCACGAATATTTGTCTCCGGAGGTAAGGTCTCAACAAGTACGGATATAACGCAAAAATTGCCCATAAAAAGGTCGTGTGTGACAGACCTCAAGCAGTTGTCCCTTGGGCACTGCGGTCACGCTCTCAGGTCATTAAGACCACCTCTAATCCAATTTCTTTTTCAGGTACCTACAGGACAACCCTTCCACGGTGTGGGCAACCGGGAAGTGATAACCGCCCTCATACCTCTAACAGCACTCGAGACCACTGTATTCATAATCAACCTTCCTCTTCAATTCCTATTATTCCTCCTACATCGACTTTCAACTCTAAACTTCCTCTTTCGGTTTCCTCCTCAAGTGTCACGTCTCCTTTATTTCTATTCCCTTATTTTCTCCATTTCCTTCTTTAAACTCAATTCAATATTCTTCTCAATTACACATACCCGATTTATTATTTTTAATATTCTACTATTATTATTCTAAATTTTTTCTTTAAATATTTTATTTTATTTTTTAAATATGGCAAGTATAATGCTAACATTATTGAAAATTGTGTATTATTGCATTTTCTGAAGAAACCCGAAATGGTTTCTTCACAACACTTATGTACCCATAAGATGTTTGTGAATAATAATAATAATAATAATAATAGCCAACGATTCTAGTGCTCAAAACTCTGTCCCAGGTCTACTGAAACCTCGCTCGAAACTAAACATTGGAGCCTTCAACGTACGAACCCTATGTCGAATCGGTCAACAGGCTTCCTTGGCTAAAACCCGAGAGTCTCTTTCTATTGATGTATGCTGTGTCTCTGAAACACTCATACAAGATTCCAGTGTGGTCATTCACTTGACCTTACCTCGGCAAAACGTAGAGCCAACGAGATACACCCTACGTGTATCTGGTGACCCGATGGCCAGTTCTCGTGGACTGGCAGGTGTAGGCATAGCACTAAGCAGCACTAAACAGTCGTCTATGTGCTGTTCGGCTAAACGGCTACGTAAGAACTCGGAAGAATAGGGACACACGTCGTTGCCTTTTCGTCGTTTCTGCCTATGCTCGCACTGACTGCAGCTCAGATGATGTGAAAGATGAATTTTACAGAAAGCTTTCTGAACTTCTTCAGAAAGCTAAACGCTCAGACATAGTACTCGTAGGGGGTGACTTTAATGCTCAGATAGGTAGTTTAAACCAAACAGAAAGGCATTTAGGTGGATATCTTAGTATTCCGACACAGCGAACAGATAATGGTGATCGTCTGCTGCAACTGTGCTCAGACAATCGCTTATTTTTAGCAAACACACTTTAAGCATAAGGTGAGACATCGTCTAACATGCCGACCCCCTACACCCAACCAACGATGGACTCAAATAGACCATATTGCCATCAGTCATCGTTGGAGAGGGTCGATAGAAGATTGTCGCTCATTCTGGAGTACCTGCTTGGACTCCGACCACGCCATAATACGGGCACGCATCTGCTTGCGCCTCACTGGACGCAAAAAAGCCACATTAAAAAGACCCATTAGAACTGAGTTGAGTAACGAGAAAACCAAAAGTAAGTTCCAGGAACAACTGAGGTCACACTTAGGTAGTTCTGAAGACGAGGCTGACCCAGATGTTGCTTGGAAAGGCATACAATCAGCTGTGGAAACAGCAGTGACATCTATTAGTGACTTAAACCACAGAGTTACAAAGAACCAGTCTATCACACTGATGGATTCTCGCAAACTCGTCCCATCACGTTCTGAACATGATGAAGAGCTTAAACAAATCAGATCTAGGTTAAGAAAAAGTCTAAGAAATGACCGTGAGCAGTGGTGGGCAACGAAAGCAAAAGAGATGGAAAAGGCGGCAACCATATGGAACACAAGACAGCTTTATAGACTAATAAAAGAAACTGGAATTAATAAGTCAAGTGTAAGTGAGATCATTTCGGAAAAAGACGATACTCTCATCTGCTCCCAGTCCAGACGTTTAGAACGATGGGCGGAACATTTCAGAGAACAGTTCAACTGGCCTTCAGCTACTCTACAACTACCCTCTATTCCCAGACAATGTGAATGGAACATTGAAGTAGGTCCCCCAACTCTTGATGAAATTCAAAAGGCTATAGTTAATCTGAAACGAGTAAGGACAGCTGGTCCAGATAGACTGGCTTCAGAGGTCTTTAACGATGGTGGTTCAATTTTAGCGATTAGGTTGACTAATATTTTAACTAAGATCTAGGTGTTAGATGTTATTCCATCTGACTGGTCGCAATCACTTATCGTCCCAATATATAAGAAAGGGTCAAAATCATCCTGTGATAACCACAGAGGGATTAGTTTAACTAATATAATATCTGAAATACTGGCTTCGATAATTATCAGACGCCTAGCTAAGACTCGTGTACTGCAAACACGAGAGACTCAAGCTGGCTTCAGACCGGGTCGTGGCTGCATCGACCACATATTCACCATTCGTCAGATTCTAGAACACAGGCATACTTAACGGCCTCCGACAATAGTGGTCTTTCTCGACTTAAAAGCAGCATTTGACTCGGTAGACTGCCAGATTCTGTGGCAGTGTTTGTCATTGAAAGGCGTACCCCAGAAGTACATGAACCTTGTGAAGGCTCTTTACTCAAACACTACTAGTTGAGTCAGAGCTTATGGCGAACTGTCATCTACTTTTGCAACCTCAAGTGGTGTCCGTCAAGGCTGTTCACTTTCCCCATTTTTGTTTAACTTCATCATAGATCTACTGATGGAAATAACTTTCTCGTCGACTGAGTTCTCGGGTATTGATCTCCATCCAGGAGGTCGACTTATCGACTTAGAATACGCAGATGATATAGTCCTGTTTGGTGAAGACGCTGACAAAATGCAAAGTCTTCTGGTAGCACTAAGCAACAATGCCAGAATGTTTGGAATGCTCTTCTCTCCCTCGAAATGCAAGTTGTTGCTTCAGGACTGGTCTGCGTAAACACCTGAACTAAGGATAGGGAGTGAAGTAGTCGAACGCGTTGACAACTTCACTTATCTTGGAAGTCTGATCAGCCCTAATGGGTTGATATCGGACGAAATCTCAGCACGGATTCGAAAGCTTGTTTGGCTTTTGCCAACTTACGTCACCTTTGACGAAGGCGAGATATCCGTCTGTCAATAAAAGAACGAGTATACTGCACGGCAGTCCGTTCTGTTTTACTTTACGGCAGCGAAACATGGCCATTAAGAGTAGAAGACACTCGTAAGCTATTAGTATTTGACCACAGATGACTTAGAAATATTGCTGGCGTCTGCCAGGATCACCGGGTAAGTAATAGTGAGGTTAAACACAGGGTATTAGGGAATAATGGTAAGTCAGTTGATGAGGTTGTGAATCTTCATCGACTGAGATGGTTGGGCCACGTGTTACGTATGCCCGAACACCGATTACCACGACGTGCAATGCTATCCGGTATTGGAGATGGTTGGAAGAGAATTAGGGGCGGCCAAACCAAAACGTGGCATCAGTGCTTGAAGTCACTAACTTCTAGTCTGAGCCATGTTGGTAGATGCAGACTACTTGGTTGGGGTCCGCGTGACTATCATAACCAATGGTTGGAGACTCTTGGTGACATGGTTCAGAATCGATCACAATGGCGTCGGTGTATACACTCCCTGTCTTTCCTTAAACTAAGAGATTAAAA